AGATGATTTGTTCAATTCTTGGGCTCAGGATGGAAAATTCAGGCCTGGAAACAGCACACTTGCTGGGAGGTTTGTCTGCCCTGTGTTTGCTAGTGTCCATCCTGGCCTCATATGAGCTCTGCCCCTTCCCCAGAATTTCTGGGGAGCTGTGGCTGCTCACCTTGACGAAGGGGAAGGCAGCCCCGGGGAGGAAGGGCTCGTTCTCGTGGTCCAGCTGGTATTTCACATAGGCCTCGACGCCCTGCTCCGTGTAGATCTTCTGCTCCTCCTCCATGCGGAACAGCGCCCGCGAGGACACGGCGATGGTGATGGCGTTCTCAGGTTTGGGCTGTGGGCACAGGGACAAATCAGGGAGGGACAAATCAGGGAGGCAGCTCCCAGGTGGATCTCCCAGCCATGAAAGGCCACAAGGTGGGTGACACCTCTGAAATTTTTTGGAGAAGGACAGAGCGGCTGCATCCCAGCGCTTCAACAGATGAAGCCCTGTGTCACAGACATCTTTTATGAAAAATCCTTTCCTAAGGGTTTTTCCTCCTGAGAAGCTGAAAAGCCTCAGGAACAAAATGTAACAATGGTTATCTGCTGCTGTGGAATGCAACAGGTGAATCTGCGATTGGTCTCATGTGGTTGTTTCTAATTAATGGCTAATCACAGTGAGATGGCTCAGATAGAGAGTCTGAGCCACAAGCCTTTGTTATCATTCTTTCCTATTCTATTCTTAGCCAGCCTTCTGATGAAATCCTTTCTTCTATTCTTTTAGTATGGTTTTAATATAATATATATCATAAAATAATAAATCAAGCCTTCTGAAACACGGAGTCAGATCCTCATCTCTTCCCTCATCCTCCGACCCCTGCAAACACGGTCACAAAACCCTGGTGCTCCATCCCCACACATCCGGGACGCCTCAGATCCCCCTGCCGAGCCCTCCCGCTGCAAGCAGGCTCCCAGCCCCCGTGCAGAGCCCAGGAGGAGCTGCTGAGGGCCGTGCAGATGGAATCTGTGTGGCTTTTCCCAGCCCCCAGGCAGGAGCGGGGCGCGCTCTGCGGCTGAGCCAGATCCGCGTCCCGTGACGCCGTCCAGATGTGACAAACAGCCCGTGCCAGCTCAGCTCCTCCAAGCACTTGATACAGCTATTGTGGGTGGGAACATGACAAACAGGTGGTGCGAGCAACGATTTATGAGTCATTATTATTGATGTTTGTGGGCTCCATCCAAAACCCAAATCCAAAACCTCCTCCAGCTGAAGCCATGGAGGCGCCTCCAGAGGGACGTGGCAGGGACAGAGGGAAAGTCAAGCTCATCTTGACCCTCACCCATCCTCCCTCTCTGCCCTGTTAATCCCCATCACTCACTTGCAAGCACAAAAATAAGTTAATTACTAATTACAGTGAGAAATCCTGCCTGCCAGGACAGCAAATCCTACAGAGGGACAGTGGCACAGGGAGTCCTGTCCCCTATAGGGGTGTCCAGCGAGCAGGACAGGGCTTGGGGGGGCTCTCTGAGCAATCCTGGCTTGTGAGCACTGCAGGAACACCTCACCCCTGCCCCTGTGTGCCTTCCAGGATCCTCTGTGCCATGAGTAATCCTCTGGCGATGCCGTTTGCTCAGGGTGGAGGGTGCCTCCTCCAGGGGCTCCAAAGTTCAAGCTCCCACCCTGCCCAGGGCTGAACTTTGCCAGGGCCAGGGCGCCCCATCCACACTGGGCTGGCTCTGCCCCCAGCCCCACCCAGGAATGAGTCAGTGGGAGCCTTCAGGACATTCCCAGCACCAGATCCATCCCAGGCACCTCTCCAGAGGCAGCATCCACTCCCAAAATCCCCCAAATCCCCCAAATCCCCAGCAAAGCGATTAAACAGCGGGCATTAGGACGAGACCCAGATTAGCTGGGGCTGAGAAGATCAGTGTGGGCACAGGGATCCCTCTCCCACAGCATTTCCAGGCAATCAGATCCCTTTTGGAAGTGACTCTTTTAGGAAAGCAGGGGAACAGCCCCCCGGGACAGGCAGGACCTGATCCATGACACCAGCACTGAACCACAGCCAGGTCCCCAAGGAGTGTCAGCTATTAACTGGTCACAGGCCAAGCCTTGGCACTTCAGCTCATTAATTAATAACCCTGGCGTCATGGGCCATTTATCAGCTGAAAATATTAATAACTCTGAAAGGTCTTGGGACATCCGGCCATTAGCTGGAGTCCTGCTGCTCCGGAGTCCCTGCAGTGCTGGGTGGGCAGGAAATCTTCCAGGTGTGTTTGCTCCCTGATCCTGCACCGGGGTCAGCCCTGCAGGGAGATTCCCAGGACAGAAAACAGCTCAGCAGCCCAGATGTAACAGCAGTGAGGCGTGTCCAGGGGGGTGAGAAGGATATTTGGGGCCACAATCCAAGCTTGGGGTGCCCAGAGGGAATTTCCATCTCCCTCTCCACACCTTGCACAACAGCCCTGGCTGCTCAAGGTGCCTTCCCCACCCCTGAAAGGCACCAGCCCTCGGGGAGGTTCATTGAAGAGGCAATAAACACAGCAATAAAAATAACCCCGAGCTCCAGGCGTGGGCAGCTGGAGCCCCAGAGGGCGGGCAGCTCTGGGAATGGGATCCTGCCAAGGAAGATTTGCACCTTGTGCAGCACCCGGGGCAGGAAAAGTCTCACCCGGGTGTGCAAAGGCAGCTCCCAGCCCTGCTGTTCCCTGGGAAATGCTGACATTTGGGAAAACGAGGCGATTCCGCACTGCAAGGAGGGAATCTGCATTTTGACATTTCTTTGAAGTGGATTTCGTTTGGAAGCGTTCCCTCCTCGAGGTTGTTTGGATGCCTCTCTGTCCCCATTAGTGCTGCAGATGGTCACTGCAACGCTCCAAAATGAGCTTTAAAAAGCCTCAGGAACCACAGCACCTCAAATCCTCCCTTTGAGTGCTGCTAACAACCCACCCAACCCCACTTTTCCCAGAAATCGAGATGTTTCAAGGCAAATACTCTTTCTTTTGTAACATGAAATGTGTGCGTGGGAGGGGGTGGGATTGGTCCCACAGCCCCCATCCCACCACAGCCTCCTCCTCTGCCCTGCAGGGCTTTGGGCTGAATCACAAACTCTGTTTTTCCCTCAAAGCATCATCCAAGGCCAGCCAAGGTCGGTGAAAGCTCATCCAACACCAGTCCAGGCTCTGCTCAGCCGAATCCAACTGAATTTGGGGATTCGTGGTGAGCTCCTCTTCCTCCCCATGGGAAGGTCCCTCCTCAAATTAATTTATTGAGCAATAAATTAATGATTGGTTTAAGTGTGAACAGGGTGTGGGCAAGGTCCCATCCCAACCCTGGGTCCATCCTTAGGGTCAGCCAAACAGGAGGGACACCCAGAGGAACATCAGCCACTGGCACAGCTCCAGGAGCTCCACAAGGCCCAAACCCCACCTGAGAAGTGCAAAAATACCTTTCCAGCAGGCTCCAGCTCCACTGAGCGCAAACCCCAGCCTGAACCCCCCAGTTTTGGGGTGAAGGTGTGTTTCAGGAGGGACTGGGAACAGCCCAATTTTCTGCCTGCAGATCCAACAGCTGGCAGCCTTTAAATCGCTGCTCTAATCACTAAATCCCCAGCAGCCCCCCCAGGATTAGAGGCACACATTTGGAAATCCCAGAGGCTCCCAGGATGTGCAGAGGGACTGTGTCATCCCACCCAGGAGAGCCAGAGGTGCCCTCAGTGCCACCCAACCACTGCCACATCTGGAGGAGCCCATTCTGCACCCCTGGATCCTTTTGGCTGCACCCAACTCCATCCTAAAATCCTGCAGGAACTCTGGGCACTTCCCTGGATGCTGCAGAACACCAAATCCTCGTGAATAATTCAATATTCAGAAGATTTTTGGTCATGGAAAGGGAAGAGGAAGGGTTTGCTCCACGGTTAAGCATTTTCCCCACTCCAGCATCCCAAAAATCACACAAGGGTGAGAGAGATGGGTCCCAAAGGGTGTCCAGAGGAAGGGAGCCAGCAGAACAGCAGCTCCCACTGTCACCAGAGAGGCTGGGGACATTTCCAGCATTGCTGAAGGGTGACAGGTCTCATTGCTGACCTCCCTGGCAGGAGCCAGCCTGTGGGAAGAGCTGCGACCACTGCAGAGCAGGAACGCCCCATGCACCCACTGCCCAGCCAGGAATGGCTCCCCAAAATCACCTTTTTTTGATCACCTCACTGCTCTCTGCTGCTCCTGTGGGGCCAGGGGGACAGACAGACAGACAGACAGACAGACAGACAGCTGACACCAAACCCCATTTCCTGAAGGAGCCCCGGGCACCGCCAGCCCCCTGCTCGGGGATCAGATTAAAGTTCAGGCTGGTTTGGAGATTTCCAAGAACATTATTTATACTGCAGGAAAGCGCCCTGCAGGCGTCCATCAGGGGCTGGCAGCTGTGGGAGGGCAGCTGAGCTGTGCCCATCGCCCAGAGGAGAGGNCTGCTCAAATCCAGCGTTCTACCCCAAAATCACAACCCACTGCTTCCCTGGGCATCCATCTCCTCCTGGCAGCAGCAGCAGCATCACCTCTGGACCATCCCACGGACACATCCCCCTGTCCCCAGCCCCTCTGGCACCCTGCCCTGCTCCCATTCCTCCTGCAACATCCTCTCCCCTGCACCAGCTGGGCTTGGCTGGCCTTCCACCATCTTCAGGAAACACCTTGGAAATGTTTACTGGCTGGGCTCCCCCTCCCAGCTGCCAGCAAGGCCTCCAGGATCCAGCTCCGATCCCAAAATCCTGGGCTCACATTAAAAAAGACAAGACCTCTCCGTAAACCTGAGTGCTGGAGGATGTGACACTCAGAAACTCCTTTCTCCCAAGATTTTTCGTTTGTTTGTTTCGATTTCAGACCTTCCTCCGAGGTGTTTGTCGCCCAGATGTGACAGCTAACAGCCTGCCAAAGGATTTTTTTTGTATGGGGGGGAAAAAGTGCAATTTGCTTTTCACTGCTAGAGCAGGATTTAGTGCAATGAGAAAAATCTCCCACTGAAGGCATCACCAGCTTGGTTATTTACATATTCCTCAAAAGGGTGATAACTCCAGCTCCAGCCTCGCTGTCTGAGCTGAAACTTCCCTGGAAAGAGCCAGACACACAACAATTTCAACCCATGTTATTTGTAAAAAACTGGGTAATAATACTGAGCGCCCTTCCTGCTCAGCCATGGGATGTTGTGCAAAAAAAAAAACCAAAAAAAAAAAATAGAGGAAAAGAAAAACCCACTAGGAAAAAAAAAATCTTTAAATTTTCCTTCCTTTCCTCCTTTGGGACAACAGGGCTTTGAGCAGAAATGTCAGTGTGATTTTCACACCACTTTCTCTCCCATTGATTTCCCATCCTGTTTTTTAATCAGAGATTTGGTTCTCTCACAGCATCGCTAACAGAGGTGCCTATTTTAGGAAACACCAGAGGTTTTAAGAAGCTGAGGAGAAAAAGATTATCAACTCATATGGGCTCAGCCTGGAAAGGGAGGAAAAAATCCTTTAATTGAAATCCCCAGGCTGAAATTCTGTGCAGATTTACCTAAATGGACTTCAAATGATGTCCCTAATATATCAAGGCCTGCTTTTAACTTAATTCAAGCCCTGGGCATGCGTCTGCAGCCCTTGCACAAGCTGAGCTTTGGATGCTCACTGAGATTATTAGTTTTAAGTGCTAAATCATGCAAGTGTGAAACCCAAATATAAAAACCTGGGCCAGCAATACACTAGCCCAAAGCTCCAAGCAAGAAACAGGATTTTTTTTTTTAGTATGTTAAGTATTTGTTTCTATTTTTCCAAATTTAAGCTGGCAAAATCTTGGTGAAAGGACAGATATTGAGTATTTTCTGGTTTGGGAGCAGCAGCTGGGGCTGTGAAGGAACAATAAAACAGTTTAATTCCAGTTCAAAGGGATAAAATTTTGTTTCAAAGCTGCTTGGAAGGTTTCTGAGTGCTCCCAATTTTCCAGCTCAGCCTAAACATTTGCTTGGGAAAGCCAGAAGGCTTTGGGAGTCACTGGTGGTTTTCAATAAATAGGTTAAAATAAATAGGTTAAACCTGCCTGGCACAAAGATTCCACACAAGGCAGACCCATCCTCGAGGGGTTTTTGCCCGAAGCAAGTGCAGAGCGCACAGATAAACTGGGAAAACATCTCCTGGCACAGAGGAGCCCCCAGCCCCACGAGGAGGAGCAGCAGCAAACAGAGGCACCAAGGACATTTCCCTCCTCTCTGGGGAAAATGAGCCCCCATTCCCAGAACAAACACCCCCTGCACGAGCAGGGAGCCTGGCTCACGGGATGAGGTCCTTGCTGGGCTTTGGGGGATCCCCCCCAACCCCACTATTTGCTGTTTGGGGTCTGCTGCTTGTCCTGCGCCGGCCGCTTGTGTTTCTGCGCCACGCCGTAGGGAACGTGGGCGGCCACGGCGCCCATCTCCTGCGCCCCCTCCACGTGGAACATCTGGTCATCGAAGAAGATGTGGGGCCTGATCTTCCTGAGCAGAGGGCCCTTGGGAGCCCCCGCCAGGAACAGAGCCTCGTCCGTCTCCAGGCCCCAGCTGCGCAGAGTCTTTAGGGCGCGGGCGCCCGAGCTGGCCGCGCTGCGCGCCGTCACCAGGTACGTGCGGATGGGGCACTCCAGCCTCAGCCCCTTGGAGTAGAACTTCTTCTGCAGCTTGCCCAGCGCCTCCAGGAAGCCCTTCAAGGGGCCCTGAGGGAGTAAGAAGGAATCTTCTGTCAGCTTTTCAGTCACCAGGTTCCCCCAAAAAATGACCCCCAAAACCATCCCCTGTGCCACCATCCAGTGTCGCAGACATCTTTTATGGAAAATCCTTTCCTTAGCATTTTCCCTCCTAAGAAGCTGAGAGGACTCAGGAACAAAATATAAACAATCATTATCTGCTGCTGGGGAAAGCAACAGGTGGATCTGTGATTGGCCCATGTTGGTTGTTTCTAATTAATGGCCAATCATAGTGAGCTGGCTCGGACAGAGTCTGAGACACAAACCTTTGTTATCATTCTTTCCTCTTCCATTCTCAGCTAGCCTTCTGAAAAAATCCTTCTTTCTATTTTTTTAGTATAGTTTTAACAAAATATATATCATAAAATAATAAATCAAGCCTTCTGAAACACGGAGTCAGATCCTCATCTTATCCTCAGTGAACACAGTTACAACCTCACACCCCACTGTGGCTTGATCCCAGAGTTTGGAGCATCCCATGAGGGCTGCCTCACTCCCAGAGCCTTTCCCAGCCCTCAGCCCAGCTCTACCTGTGCCAGGGGTTTGTTCTCGTGGGCCTTTTCGTGCTCAAAGAACATGTCCAGGCCGTGAGCCTTCACGATCTGCTCCGACTCATCCGAGAAGAGCACGGCGTCCCCGTCGAACGCCACCCTCAGCTGCTTCTCCGACACCTCCAGGTCCCTGCTGGGGCTGAAGATGGTGGCTGCAGCAATCCCTGAGGGTGAGGCAGGAGGTGGCAGTTATCCAAGGATCCGTCCTCGTGGCTCAGCCACCAGGAGCAGAGCAAAACACGACAGGCCGGGAGCAAAGCGCCGCGAGGAAACGCGAGCGGGAGCACCTGCAGCTCGGCCCCGAGAGCTACCACAGCAAGAACAAACCCCCAGATGACAAATCACGCTTTGCATACAAGAATTAAGGAGCAAAACCACCGCCTTTGCCTCGGGAGAGCTGTGGAGCTGGAGGAAAGGCTCATTTCTATGGAAACTGGAATGAGTTTGTGAAACTGGAATCAGCAATGTGGGGCAAGGCAAACTTTAAGTGCACGTTGGATTAGGGACAGGGAAATTGGAGTTATCCTTCCCGGGATCAACCCCCTGAGGGCTCCAGGCTCCCCCCACTGCCCTTCCCCTGAGCTGGACCCCAGACTCACCCTCTTCAATGGCCCCACTCACTTTCTCTGCATCAGAGGAGAGGTAGAGGTTGGTGTGATAGGCCTTGAGGTAACAGATGGGGCTGTTCCCTCCCGTCATGCAGAACCTCTCGATGAACAGATCTGGGGGCAAGAGGGACCCCAAGGTGAGCCTGGCTGCCCCCCAAACCCAGCCTTGGTACTGGAAGGTAATTTTGGTTCTGCTGCCCAACAGCAGGGCCAGCACCCAGAGCTCCTCCCCACCAGCCAACACCCAGAAAACTCAGGAAAAATATAAAAACTGGGAGAAAACATCTCCTTTTCTTGGTGCCCAGCAATGCCACCACCCAAAAGCCACCAAGGCCAGCTGTGTCCCCATCTCACCATAGTGGTTGATGCTGTTGATCAAGCGAACCCCAACCTGGGCGTGGTTGTTGGTCATGAGGACGATGTCGAAGAGCTCCTCGCTGTCGGGGTAGAGCTCACGGAGCTGAGCATTCACTGCCTCCAGAGCCTGCAGAACCACAGGGAGAGGGGCTGGGTGTCAGCCAGGCCCCCCCAGGCACGGCCCCGACCCCCTTCCCAGCCAGCAAAACACTCCTGGTCACCAAATCCACACATCTGGCCAGCCCCAGGTGTGGTCCTCACCCCTTTCCATCAACAAAACACTCCTGGTCACCAAATCCACACACCTGGCCAGCCCCAGATGTGGTGCTCACCCCTTTCCACCAACAAAACACTCCTGGTCACCAANTGCCCCAAGGCCCACGGACATTCCTTGGCTATATTTGGTGATGGATGCAGAATTTGCCGCTTCCCCTCGGCCCATCTGTTCCCCTGACTGGCAGGGAGGAGCTGCAGTGGATGGAGCCGGGGCTTCAGCAGCCATAAATCTCACAAATCTCCTCTGCTGAGCCTGTGCTGCCTCCCACCTGTTGGCTGGGAGAAGATCAAGCTGACAAAAGCCTCCTGCCAAGCTGTATTTTTATCCATCACGAGCCCAGGTGCCCCACAAAGGCTGCTCACGAAGCACAGGGAGGTGTTTGGATCACAGCACATCCCACCCCTGGAATCCCACAGCTCTCCAGCCCCAAACAGGAGCTTGAATCACATTTTCTGAATTCCCTTAAACCCCCAAAAACCCTTTTTCCTTCTGCCCCACCACCATAAAAAACCTGGGAGGTCCCAAGCAGGGAGCCAAACATTCATTGTGGGAGCAGGGCTGGGACCAACACGGTTTATTATGGAAAAACACCCCGAGGGATCCCATTTACATGGCAAAAAACCACCGGAGGGGTGGGACAATGCAGCGAAATCCACAGCAACAACACACAGCGGGAAAAAGTCCAGTTGTCAGCCAGGACAGCAGGAGAGGCAGAACCCTGTGGGAGAAGGGGGGGACCCCAGGGACACTCCCCAGCCCCAGGGAAGTGCACAAACAGCAAGTCCTTGTCTTCCGGTTGTAGGGATGGAGGAGGAAAAGTAAAAATAAAAAAAAAAAAATAACAGAGGAAGCCACGTGGATAAAAGCAAAAGGGGCAGCTGTGGTGGGAATGGAAAATCCTCCCTGCTTGGGGGGGGTGTGAGGAGGTCTGGCTCACCTGGGACCCATTTCTGAGCCCCACATTCCCCAGGGAACCCCTAAACTGCCCTGTCAGCAGCAGAACCCAAAGCACGATCACTAAAACCTGTCCCCAGCTCCCTGTGCACCTCAGGGAGGATTTGGGGAGGCCTGGCTTACCTGGGGCCCATTTCCTGAGCTCCACATCTCCTAAGGAGCTCCTAAACTGCCCTGGCAGCAGCAGAACCCAAAGCAGGATCACTAAAACCCTGTCCCCAGCTTCTTGTGCACNAGGTGGCATCAGCAGGACACGGTGGGGCAGCGCTGGGGACACCGCTCAGTGCCCGGCTCGCTGCTCCTGCTGTCCCCAAGGGCGGGTGTGGGGTTGGGACATCCTTGGGAGCACAGGGAGGACACTCAGGGAGGGTGGAGCAGCCAGGAGGGGACAGAGAGGTGGTGGGACCCCGCTCGGTGCCAGGGTGACCTGTGGTGGTGGGACCCCGCTCGGTGCCACGGTGAGCTGTGCCATTCTCTGCTTCACGGAATGAGTGCCGGTGTTAATTAAGGCTCTCTCCTCCCGGCAGTGCTACTGGGAGCAGCCACGGAGCTGCACAATTCTATAAATCCCACCACAACCAGCAGAACGCCAGAAGCCCTTGGGGAGCAGGGGATGCATTCCAAAAACCAAAACCCAAAAGCCAGGAAGGGGCAAGGGATGGAGATGTCACCTGAGGGGAGGTCACAGGACAGGGTTTTACCCAAATCCCTGTGCTCCAGCTAAAGAAAAACCCTCCCTACAGAGAACAGCCCCATGAGACCAACCCAGCACCGAGGTCCAGGCGAGGAGAGCAGAGCCAGCTGTGTGCTGGTGAGCAGGGCTGGCACCAGCAATCCCAAACCCTTTGGGAATTCACCATTTCAGCCTCAGAGATTTCCTTTCCCCAGGGTTTTTTTTTGCAGCTCCCTTCTGGGGAACACCTGAGCTTCCTTCGGGGTGGAATGAGGGATCCTGGAGGGCTCCGGGATCACCAGGTTATTCCTGGAGTTGTCTCTGGAGCTTTTGAGTTGCTGCCCTTTCAGGCAGAGCCCTGGCACATCCCCAGCTCCTGCAGGGTGGGAGAAGCTGCCCTGTTCCCTCTTCCCCAGCACTGCTGAGCTGCAGACTCACACGTGCTCCTGGAAAGCACAAGTGCAGAGCTCTGCCATCAGCAGCTCTCCTAAAAATAAATCCCTGCCGTGCTTTTGGCATCCTCCCATCCCTGTGCTCCCGTGCTGGACACAGCAAGGGCTGGGGAATGGCAGGGTGCAGGTGAGATGGGAGCCAGCCCTGCCAGATTGATTCCAGAGAAGGATTGAAAATTTGGTGAGAGCTCCTTAGCAACAGTCTCTGTCTGTGCAGGCTGCTGAGGGAGAGGCCAGAGGAAAATCTGTGCTGGGAAGATGGGGGTGGAGGAAAGAAGGACAAAGATGCACAGAGAGAGCAGGTCCCAGCTGCTGAGAGATGGAGACAAAGCCAGCAGCCCTGAGGGAAGGGCACAGCCACATTCCCAAATGAGAGCCATTTCCAGAGAGGTTTGGGGTCAGGGGCTCCCCACCCCAAAAGTGGCATTCTCTTCCCCAGAGCTGCCTGCATGACTGAAGGGTTTCAATCTTCAAGGAACCTGTTCTGTCCCCAAGGGTTTCTCCAGCCCTTGGGGTGTCACAGGCTCAGATGACACCCCTACAATATTCTCAGCAGTGCAGTGTTGTCACCTCACTGTCCCCAGCCAGCTGCCCCCCAATAAACCACCCAGAGGGGGACACCACACACAGGGGACAGTTTATTTGTCCATTAAAAAAATAAGTAAGGACTTCACCACCTCCTAACAGACACCACAGCCACCAACACCACAATGTGCAGACTAAACACCAACCTGGGGCAGGAGGGGTGGGTGCAGCAGGCTGGGAAAGGGGGAGGAAGGAGACAGATTTGTTTTTTGTGGCCTCAGAGCTTTTCCAGGAAGCTCAGCAGGGACAGGACCCATCCACACCTGCCCAAAGCCCCCAGTCAGCAGGGCCACACACCCAGGAGCAGCACCAGGACCTGCCTTCCACAGCCACACTCCTGAGCCTGCCTCACCTCCATCCCCAGGAGGGTCAGAAATGCCACAGAGCACCCAGGGCAGCTGGGGACATCACCCACCTGATGGGATGGAGGGTGGCTGCAGGGATGGGACATCCAGGGCTGGCTTTGGACATTTCTGTTCTCTGCTGGAGTGTCCTGACCAAGCCTGGCTGTTCCCAGTGTAAAAACAGAGGTGGAAGAGCTAAAGCTGGTGCCAGACCCTGCCCAGGCAGCTTTCCAGGGAATTGCCAGTGAAGGAAGGACCAGGAGCAGGACTTGGGGCTTTTCAGCCTCCCTGGAGGCATCACAAGCCAAGAAATGAGGAGAAAACAGCAGAAATGGGACAGAGGCGGTCTGAGTTAGGATCAGGGAATGGGGCAGTGGGGAAAGCAGGGAGGAAGCAGCAGGGATGTGGGAACAGCTGGCCCTGCCCAGCCAGGACACACCAGGGGCTGCAGGGCACCATCTCCAGGCTGGGAGAGGGCTGGCAATGCTCAGAGCAGGCTCTGACCTTGTGGATGTGGAACTGCCCAGGATGCAGCCAAAGCAGGGGCAGCAGCAGGGATGGAATGTGGCTCATGCCTGGGGCCAAATGGGGGAAAAAACAGAGATTGAAACCATCACAGGGGCAGAGTTTGGCTGCAGCCAGTCCAGCCCTGAGCCCCAGGGCTCTCTCTATTTCTGCATGTCACACTGCAGCAGCAGGACGATGGAGGGGTCACTCTTGGCGGCCTCCTTGAACTCCTCCAGGGAGATCTGGTCATCCTTGTCCTTGTCCATCTTTGTGAAGATCTTGTCCACTCGCTGCTGGGGTGTCAGCCCGTCCTGGTTCATCCTCATCATGATCACAGTCCCCACCATCTTGTAAATGGCCTGGAGGAGGAGGAGAGTGGGAATGAGAGGGAATGTTGGAAGCACACAAGACCCCAGGACAAGGCAGGGGACAGGATTGCTGCTCTGTTGGGACCCTGTTCTGTCAGATCCACTTCAGGCACCTTTCAGGCAAGGCTCAGTGTCACAGACATCTTGTATGGAAAATCCTTTCCTTAGGATTTTGTCTCCTGAGAAGCTGAAAAGCCTCAGGAACAAAATGCAAACAATGATTATCTGCTGCTGTGGAATGCAACAGGTGCGTCTGGGATTGGTCTCATGTGGTTGTTTCTAATTAATGGCCAATCACACTCATCTGGCTTGGACTCTCTGTCGAAGCCACAAACCTTTGTTATTCATTCCATTCTTTTTCTATTTCTATTCTAGCCTTCTGATGAAATCCTTTCCTCTATTCTTTTAGTATAGTTTTAATATAATATATATCATAAAATAATAAATCAAGCCTTCTGAAACATGGAGTCAGATCCTCGTCTCTTCCCTTGTCCTAAGACCTTTGTGAACACAGTCACAACTCTGGGTAGGAAAACTCTTTTTTTTTGGTGCTAAAAGGGACTCAATATCTGTGAAAAATCCTGGGAAAAGCAACCAATCCCTGCTGGTTTGAAGCACTGGTACCTCAATGATCTCCAGCATCTCCAGGCGCGTGATCTTCCCGTCCCCGTCCAGGTCATACATCTCGAAGGCCCAGTTGAGTTTCTGCTCGAAGGTGCCCCTGGAGGTGACAGACAGGGCACAGATGAACTCCCTGAAGTCGATGGTGCCGTCCCCGTTCTTGTCGAAGGTGCGGAACGCGTGCTGGGCAAACTTGGAGGCGTCTCCATAGGGGAAAAACTGCGGGAAGGGGAGAAGAGGAGTGGAAATGAGGAGGGGGAAGTCTCATTTGGAGCCCCCCAGGCAGCGCTCAGACCCCCCCAGCTGGAGCCCACCTTGATGTAGAGCTGCTGGAACTCCTCCAGGTTGAGGATGCCGGTGGGGCAGTCCTTGAGGAAGCCCTTGTACCACTGCTTCAGCTCCTGCTCGCTGAACTCCGTGCTCCTCACCAGGTCATCCAGCATCTCCGGCGCCAGCTTGCTGCTGTGCTTGCCCATGGCTGCCCCTGGGAAGGAAAACCCACGCCAGGATGGAGAGGGATGCTCCTCCCAGGCCCTCATCCACCCTGCATGATCCTGCATCCCTCTCCTCCTTGCTGGAGCTGACCCACCTGGCTGATGGGTGTCCATGGAGGACAGCAGCTGTGGCAATGGAAATGTGGCTTTGGCCTTTGGGACAGCCATCAGCATCACCCCAACCCCTGGGCTCATTTTGGGCTGAGGGAAAACACTCAAAAAGCAACTGAAAATTCAGAACTCTTCCCATTGCCTTTGCCAGAGCATGGTCATAGAATGCTGCAATGGTTTGGGTTGGAAAGGACCTCATTTAGCTCCAGCCACGCTGCCATGGCAAGGAACACCTGGGACCTTTTCTAAGGATGAGACAACGAAGAATCTGCCATTAGGGCACATAAAAACCTCCCTGGCACCACAGGCCATGCAGCATCCAGCTGGGCACAGAGATGCCAAGGGAAAGATCTTGTCCATCTGGGGGAAGATGGGGTCTGTAAGGCTCCATTTACCACTTAGGGTTAGGGTTTTGAAAACCACAAAGCCAGAGCTAAACCAGGCATCCCAAGTAGAACCCAAAACTGCCACAACATGCCTTCCACCATGGCTTTTTCCTTGGATCCAACCTTAGCCCAAGGCTGCATTTACTGCCTAGGGTTAGGGATAGGATTTTGAAACCACAAAGCCCCGAGCTCCAGGCACACTGCAGCTAAAAACTGCATCCCAAAGAGAACACAAAACTGCCAAAATATGGCTTCCACCACAGCTTTTTCCTTGGAACCAGCCTTAGCCTAAGGCACTGTTTACCGCCTAGGGTTAGGATTACACCTAGGGTTAGGGTTATACCTAGGGGTTAGGGTTTTGAAAACCAGAAAGCCCAGAGCTCCAGACACACTGCAGCTGCAAACGGGGAACCCAAAATGGTCACAACATGACTTCCACCACGGCTTTTTCCTTGGAAGCAGCCTTAGCCTAAGGTACTGCTCGTTGACTGCCTAAGGTTAGGGTTATGCCTAGGGTTAGGGTTAGGAAGCCACAAAGCCCAGAGCTCCAGGCACACTGAAGTGACCAAAGAGGAACCCAAAACTGCCACACACGCCTTCCACCA